CCCACAGCTCGCATGATTTTCTCGTACTTGCTAGGAATATGCAACAGACATGATCAAGTAACCAAAGATACGCTAAAAACGGGGGAAACTGAATTGAGCCAGTATGTTTTTTTAGTAACATTGGGTTCGACTTGTGTTACCTTTAAAAAAATGACAACGATCATACTGAATTCTGTTTGATTTACGGCTGTTTAGAACCAGGTAGTTAGGTACTAGAGTTTAGAGTTCGACATCTAGTAGGATCCTCAGCTAGGCTAGTCCGAGCAATTCTGTGCCAATGGTCTGCACGAAGATGAACATTACAAAGTCCGGATGCGCCTTACCATAATCACACTGAAATGCCATGAAGAATGGTATCCGTGAATCCCATTCAGCTCTGTCTGCATAGTAAGACTACCAGAAGGATGGCCAAGCTCGAATGACTGATAGCTGACAAAAGTATTCTCTTCTTAGTTTGTGCATAATGGCATGCTAGTTCCTTGCTAATTATTCGTACAAGGCCCCCCTCGTGTGTGAAATCCTGGAGTGCGCGCTTGGGAGGTCTGGTCGTGCATGTGGCGCAGGCAGACGTGCTCTCTGGTCCTGTCAGCCACTGTGGTCATTCCCCGCACCAGACGACTGACCTGTTCGGACAGTGTCTGGAACCTGGGAATTGGAAGGGAGAGTGAGTTCGGCGACTCAGCGCATTTCTCTTCACTATAAACAATCTGACGCGCTTGAAGCTATCACGATGCGCTAAAAGCCGTGACTTGGAAGGTTGCCAACTGGCGGGATAACTCGGACCTCGCAGTCAGTCCAGTGTTTGTGCGGAGTGGTGAACTGGTGGTCAGGTTGCACTAACTCTTTGATATCCGACCCGGACGCGGCGGCACGCTTAGGGGCGGCTCCGTTCGTGCTAGCCACGTGCGCCCTCTCCCACCTCCGGTCTTCGTGACTATGTTTTGACACCGAGGCCAGGTAGGGAAGGAGGAGAGAGCGCGGTAGATGTTGCGAAAGTCTACCATCCCTAAAAACTAATTCACGTGCAAGTCATCGTCCCTGCTCCCACCCTGCTGTGGAGAAAAAGGTAGACATAATCGAAATTGACGGTCGAACTGTCATTGGTACGGGTGACAAGCTAAGCTTACCCAAAAAGTCTAAGAAAAAGCGATATGTTTCCCTTGATTCTTTTCTTGTATGCAAATTATGCTACAATTTTTTTGGAAAAAGATAGGCGGAAATGTAACTTTTATAATCGCATGAAGGAAGGCTGTTTTTTCAAATTAAGGTCCAAAATCTACTAGTTCACGTTTGATGGAATTCTACATGGGGCTACTCTGAATCTTGCACCTTGATTCCTTCGGTTTTGATTGAAGTAGTAAGCGCTTTACAAGTATAAGGAAGTATCCTCGTTACTTTATGAGCATGTCTTATAAATGTGAGTTCAAGAAGTACGTGACTACAGTTGTCTTGATGTCCTTGGATTGACTTAGAATATACGACAAACGGGGTTTTTATAACCTTTAAATAATAGAGGATTTTAAAAGCTGGATTTTGCAGAGTTTGGCTAAAAAAGCTATCAACGCGCCTTCCAGTAGCACCTTCCATCCATAAAACGTCGAAAAAAGACAAACATATCGACACGCCTTTTGCTTTTTTAAATTTGGGCAGAACTTTCCCAGACTACTTCAAAGATAAAACCATTTACACAACACTCTCCCAAAGCACCTTACTTTGAGCGGTTATGAGAAACCACGCTTTGACCACGGTATTGCCGTGAGCACAGCCGCTTTTATCACCAAACAGATGGAGTAATGGCACGTTTCATGAGAACCCGCGGAGGCCACCCGCCAATACCACGGTAACACCGCTTGAGCAGAATCTACCCAGGCTACGGTTATGTTATTTCATGTGTAACAGAAATAGAGAGTTACTATAACGCAATGCCGAAAGTTCTAGATATGCACGTAAACACTGCGCAACAGTGATAACCAACTTGTGAGCTGAAAAAGCGGGTCAGTTGCTCTCTTGCTTGTGTGTTAGAGAGAGCGAGGCTTAGGGCGTGGTCAGATGTACGCCAGCGACTGTCAGGCTTAGATTAAATACAGATCTTACGTGGACTACCAGTGATGTCACTGGACGATGCTGACTGGACCTCGTCGATGGACTCCTCTGATCCCTCGCTGATGATGACTTTCCTGCCGCCTGGACGCCGAGCAAGGAGCGGAAGTCGAGGGAGTTGCCAGCTCTCAGCGGGACTGTCTGTTGGTGGTGTCAGTGAGTCCGGCGAATCTGGGGTACTCTCGACCTCGAAAATGGGTTTCAAGCTTTCAGCCCCTGTGGTCTGAAAATCAGCGAGGGGGGGGGGAAGTGAGAGACTGCTGTTTAAATACATCTTAGCAGAGAGCAGAGTAAGCCAAGCAGCTGGCCGCCTTGAGGATTGGGATTTTTTTCATTTCGATTGGCAGGATGTTAAACTGCACTTTTCACAACATTGAATTTTGTGTAGTCGCCCCCGGAATGATCAAAATCGCAGGTGTCGGTGACCTGAATACGGTGTGCAGTAACGCAATGGCTCAAACGACTTGCTTACTATTATCAAAGCGTACTAGCGACATTTAGACCTGATTGAGTATGCTAGTAGACTGGATGTTAAATCGTCCGAGAGACGTTGATTTTAAAGCGTGTCTCTTGCTTAATCTGGAACCGACGTTTCGTCGATGTTTTTGAAAGATCGAACTCCTGGTACCCCAGGAGCGACCTCGGTAAAATGGCCAGAAATCGACAGTCACGTCTTTCCTGTCTTTCTTGGTATGCCTACAGTAGTTACTGTCGAGGCAAGTATAATCCTCGTGTGTTAGTAACGTAAACGTATCCTACCTACGGCATACGTGAATGCATCTGGTAGAATGAAAGCGTAAAATTCTCTCCAGAAATGCAAAAGCCATCACATCGAGGAATTGTACAATTCAAATCAGTCAGATACCATGGCCGTCAATGTCTCACTTGGCTAAAGGGAGACAAAATCAAATGTCATTAGGGGCAGTAGGAGTGCAGTTGAGTCGTTATATACATATTGGCCCAACCGTAGAAAACTCGGCGCCTCGGTGGGATTCGAACCCATGCAGTAAGGGGAAGGCTCCAGTACAGCCAACGCTCTAACCACTTGGGCTACGAGTACCCGCCGGACGACGCGAGTTTAATCGCCTTTGGGTTAAGTTACCCGCCCAACCTACTGCAACGTCTGGAATCCACCAAATCTGATACAGTAAGTAGTCAGTGCTTGGAAACAGATTATCTGCAGTAGACGATGTTGAATAGAGAAGGACCGTGAGACGTGATAAAGCCTCCACTTTTGTCCTCTGCAAATGACGGAATGAGACCGGAAGTTGCCCATTCCGGTTGCGCTTACCAGTGCTTCTAAACCTCGCCTCTGCCTCACAACGCAAGTAAATGCTCTACTCTGTCCTGTAAACATAAACCGTCGCTAGGACACAACATGCGAATGCATCAAAACAAAGCAGAGCGGGATGGTCAGATCGGTGAGCCCTATGCGTCCTGCTCGAACATGATTGGACAGTGCCTTTTGCGAATCAGTAAAAAACCAGGCATTAGAAGGTTAATGTCTCATGAAAATGGAACTACATCGCTCGCTTTTGGCTGTACCACCCAATCAGTGGCGTGACTTGCAGTGTGACGCTCATCTTACCAGTCACTTTCGTATCTTTCAGCTGGAATTGTGAGTCTTATCTCTGAATTGAATGATTGTACCACAAAATTTAAGTGCAGCCTCACCTCACGTAAACTGAGCAGCATTGTGATTGGGTAGTGTCTTCTGACCGAACAGTATCTCGGCTGGCAACAGACAGCATGACTTAGTTAAAGACGGTGGGAGACCGACGGACTGACAAGGCCGATAAATATTTTGACGACGAGATTTTGATTGGGAAAAATTCCCCCAATTATTGTAGTATATTTTTCAACTCAGGGTCACTATCGACCGACAGTGTTACCGAACTTGTAGCCAATCTGAAGGCCAAAACAGATCCTCCTAACAAAACAAAACTGTCTGAACGGGCTTAATGAAATTAACGATAGAGTAGTAAACCCGTTAACTTATCAGCTAAGCTGGAAACAAAGCCTCCCACGGTTTAAGCGGAGTGAAATGCGTCTAATAAATTTTCTTTGGCACACATGTTATCGTCAGCCAATGAAATTATCCAAGGGCAGGGCTGGAAAGGAAACACTTTATATGTATTGCCTGGTCAATCTCATAAAATGTTGACCAAAATTCAGAAAGGTGTTCGTGTTTAATGAAATCCCGCAGGTGGGGGTTACAATATTGATTGTCGTGCAACATAATGCAAAAATACTTCTGCCAGCCCGGGATGCTTGCTTTTAAATGCAATTTTTTTCGGCCGCCTGCAAGAAAAGCACTCAAGTAAAACAAATACTTACTTTGATTAACCTTTTCCGTTAATTTTTGATGCGCTTATAGATTCTTACATAGTTTGTGGAGAACACGCACAAGACAAGACACTCTCAGGTTTCAAGATGTTTTTGATTCCCGAATTATTTTGAAACCGAAGGGCATTTTCACTTGCATTTAGGGTTTCCAAACTGTATGTCGTATACTTTCTGTACACGGAAAATCATGTATTTCTCTACGCTAATACGAAGATGCTGTGTAGGGCTCACACGATTTTTTAAATAACCGTGGTCAAGATTGTATACTTCGTGAACAACAGTAATAATAAACGGATAGATACGATACTATGTGAATGAACCTTTCACGGCCTCAAAAATCCATAATTATGAGATTTTTAAAGCTATAATATGTGAAGACGTAATTATCTATCCGGCAGTTTGACCGTCGATTCCGACGATGTCCACCGTGCGCTACCCATCAAGGTTCAGCAGGCACGGCGAATTGCGCGTGAATTAGTTTATAGTGATAGTAGATTTGCGACATCTACCGCACTCTCTCCTCCTCCCCCACCCGGACCCGGTGTTAAGAGGAAGTCAAGACGACCGGAAGCGGGAGAGGGCGAAGGTGGATGTCACGGTCGAGTCCGCACCTTGGCGCTCCACTCCACATCCCCTGGTCCGCAAAGCAAATGACCTGGATTTTACTGAACAAAAATAGGGGGCGACATGAGTTCCAGTGTGCGCGACGTCTACCGGCAACCGGGTCTGCCACCGCACCTCGAAACATTGGCATTTATTATGGCGCGCAATCCGACAACGCCTGCTAGAATCCGATATGACCCTCGTGTTGGTCCAGCACATTTACCACGTGGCCCTTTTTATGGGGCATATTCGCTATCCAGTGAGTGCAAGAAAGGATATTTCTGGTCATTTTTTCTAGCAAATGTATTCGAATTTATAAGGATATAAAAAACCAGTGCAAGACGGGTGTGCGACTTAAATATTCACAGTTAAAGCCGGCATTCTAGCGTGATTGAAATATCCTGAGGTTAGGTTGCACGATAAGTAATATTACAACTCCACCTTAGTAACACATTTTAAGGGAAAACATTAGAATTCCGGCTGACATTTTGCAAGGTAGGTTAGGTACTATCGCAGCTGCAGAACAGGTAAGCAGGCAATTATGCCTTGTGAAAATACCTGTCATTTTATTTCCGCGTTAAACGTCCCAGTCACCAAATAGATGTTAACAAATCAAATTACCAAAGGTCACTCAGGGAAATGAAACAGGCACCGTCAAACAAAGTTACTTAAGATCTAATGGGTATATCGCGTAGTTTTTTGTCAGGCAATCCTTCTGAACTCTCTTTTTATGTTAAAAATTTCAAAATTCTCATGTGTTTTAGCCCCTTGTTCGCTGTCTTTTCTCGCAGCTACTTTTTTATTAGCCCTACATAGCAAACTACGTTAAACAGGTAGACCTGCATTTGTTAAAAAATGTTAGAAAAAACTCAATTTCTAGGTAGTAGGAGACGCAACCGCTGGAACAAGCGTTTTATTTGCTTAACGTTTCTGACCCGCACTCGACTCCACAAAATCACTTTAAATAGAACAATGACTGACATAACCCCTTTCCCTTGCACCGTCTGCTTACTCGGGAGAAGGGAGTCCTTAAATTTGATATCAATGCAGTGACTGTGTACGAAAAAGCCTCTCGCTCAAAGCTTTTTGACAGAGCAGCGAGACGTAAATATACCTGCAGCATAGTTATGCAAGATTTCCGCTATTATAGCTCGCCATCAGCCCTACTACAGCCACTAACAGGCTAGAACTGGCTGAAAACAACTCAGCGTCAGGAAGCCGGATGCTATCATCATCCGGCCTTTAACGATGCATTTTTTCACATCGTAGAGTCGATCAGTCCCGCCCTCTCAATAACGCCAACCTACACACAACGCAAGACAGTTTTCCAACTTACCAGTTCCGAATGCCGATGAGACGTCTTCTTACTGGGTAGTTTTTCGCCACCGCCATCGTCACCTGCATCGCCACTACCGTCGACGCCACTGTCTTCAGAGCCAGGAACGTTGGGAAAGAAGAGACTTTCCCTGTTGGCCTCGGTATCTCGCGTACTCGACCTCTCCCTGGTGGGGAGATCGCCGCTGTGAGTAGACTCGTTGCTCTTCGGCGAGGTGGATAAAAAGGAGGCTGGGAAGAAACCGCGGAACCGCCGACGACTGCCATTGTTTCGATCAGCCCCTCTGTTGCCGCTAGTGATTTTAGAGACTTCAGATATTTGTTTGGGCGAGTTTTCGTTGGGGGAGAGAGAGAGATTGTGGGCACTGACGCTGCTGCTCATCGGGAGTCGGACAGAGTCCTGCGGGGCCGAATTTCCGGCCTGGTTCAGAGAGAGGCTGCTGTAGACGGTGAAAGGGAAACTAACTTAGCTAAGTGACAGTCCTGTGTCAGACGGTTCATCCCCTAAATTCCCAGGGGACGGGGGGGGGCAAATTAGTTTGGACAAATTTAAGTACAGTCCACGTCCATTCGTAAATGAAAATGCTTGCTTTGCCCGTTTTGCCAAGACGACCGCGCATTGCTTGCACAGACTTACCACGTGTTAACTATGCACGCTCATTCAGACCGGGCCTCGGCAGGGCGTAAACGCTCATTGGCTCAGACGTCCTCTGAACGTGTCAGCAAGTGACATATTCACAAGACTTCGTCAACTCTGTTTATCGACCAGTTCTCAAACTACCTCCTCAGGTCAGGTTGAGGTAGCCTTCCTGGTGCCAAGTGAATCACACAAATAAGTGCACTGTACTATGAGGGCACGCACGAATTAGGCTGCAGGATGAGCACCAATACTTATTAAATAATATGTTATTAGTATAGTAAATCGCATTAAAAATTGGGCAGGCCGAAACCCGATGCCACTTGGTTCTGAACCTGCCCAGTTTTAAGACAATATGATTGACAGACTAAAGCCTGGAGAACAATCTGGAGTAGCGTATCACATCCCGCCTTGTCAAAACTGTCCCTGTATATACAGAGGCCAGACTGAACGCATGCTCTGATTGCGCATACACGAACATAAGCGGGCTGTGCGACGAGGTGACGCATTATCACAAGTGGCCGCCCACACCTACGAAATGGGTCACGAGTTTAACTTCGTAGCCACCATGATAATTGCCCACGCCGGAAACAAAACAGGCCGAGAATTGATTGAAGCCCGGGCCTAGGATGAGAACTTAGTCAATCGATTTATTGATTTGGCGCCGATGTACAGAGCCCTGAGCAGTCAACTCCAGTCTTGCGTCGTCGGTCGATGATTGACCTACATGCTCTTTGGTGTATGCTCTTATTCATACACCTGGAATTCGAAATTTCGCCTTTATACTTCTCCTTCTATTCTGCAGAAAAGACAACGAAATTATACTTTGGCTTCCGCCTCCTAAGAAACAGGCCCTGCTTTTATATTGTAACTTCCCCTCAGATTGCATTTGACCTATTTTAGACTGTCAGACTTGAGGATTTTTGACCTTAAGTACATACTGAAAACCAAAAACCAGGGGGTATGAGCGGAAGGCAAAGTTGGTCGTCCATGTCCGTTGAGAGGATAATCTCCTGCCCCGTAGTAGCGTGCTCGGGCATAAAGTCCTAACCGGAGCGCCAGGGTACGCTGCAATGTCCCAACTGTTCACACACACTAATGAAGGGTCAAAAGGCCAGTGTGAGAACAACGAAATGTCCACGGCTTAGCAAGTACTTGGTGATGGAAGAACGATAATTTATTTTCTTAATGCACGCCTTTACGACGACCCGAGGTGAAGCAAAACCCCTTGTGAATGAAAGGTATGTCCACAATACCCGAAATTTGCTGTTTGGCGATATCGAAATTTCAATAGCAGTTAGGGAAATAGTAAATTGAAGTCTGAGATGTTACATAAATGAAGTTTGGGCATTTAAATAAACACGTTTTTTTTTATCGCCGAATGTCACTAGCTGTTTGTCGAAACAATCGAAGATGCGAGGCCCAGGAGCGATCGCTGGAACAAGGATTTTATTCACCTGATGTTTCGGATCTTCACTTGAACCCATCACTAGAGACAGTGACAGAGACGGGTGATTCGTGCACAGGAAGTTGCAGTATTTATAGGATATAGTCTTTATGCTACCGCATAGCGATTGATTACCATGGTATGAGGTGGCATAGAGACCTCGTCCTATAAATACTGCAACTCCCTGTGCAGGAATCACCCGTTTCCGTCATTGTCTTTGATTATGGGTTTAAGTGATAATCCGAAAATTTTAGAGGAATAAAACCCTTGTTTCAGCGATCGCTCCTACTTCTCATCAACCAGCTGTTTGTGTGAGAGTTGAATGAGACATAACTAGTGGGAGGGACCTCAAGACCTTGGAAAAAAATGTCTATCCTATTGAGGCCCTAAATTGTATGGTCTACAGCAGGGCAGTTATCAAAAAGTCCGGATCTCTTCTTATTCACGCTGACAGGCTAGAAACGAACCTGTGATTCCTGCTGCCCTTCATTGCAGACCGCAGGGGCATCTTTGTGAGATCCGGCACGCTGACAGTGTTGGCCGCAGCCACTTCGCGCAGGGGCAGAAATTGCGAATCATCATTTATTCGGGTTAAAGAAAGAGAGGATGGTCGCCACTGCGACTGTTGGCCTCCAGCGCCACCTGCGGAGACGAATCGTCGCCTGTTCTGGACGACGGCGGGGTACCGTTGCTGGTGCTGATGCTGGATGTAGCTGAAGTATCGAGCCGTGAGAATACTGCCGGAGGCATTGCGCTCTCGGGGTGAGAGAGGCAGCGTGGCGGAGTGCCTGCAATCAGACGTGGTGGAGATGCACCGCCGAGCACGCAGGGCCTGTGGGGAGTTGTCCGGCTGCAAGGGGGAGATGGCTGGAGGTGCGCGGGGTGGTCTGACCGCGTAGACAGTCGTGCCTGCCTTCTCACCGGGCTTCTCATCAGCCTGCAGGAGCTCCTGGGACCCCATCGCTCGGCGGAACTGGTGACGCACTGGCGAGAGTGGGACTAGCGAGTAAACAGTAGGGAAGATGTCGTAAATGGTAATGTTCTCACGAACTAACGAGTTATATCTCACGAGCCCCTAGCCTTAAATGCAGCAAGTAAATCGGAGCAGTGAATAATATAGAGGTTTTTGAACGTTAAGAAAACTGACAACAGAATACCACAGCAGAGCACGCTAGCAAGGCGGGTTGTCCTGGTGTGTCGTTTCTCGTCACATTCAAACAAGCAATGCGGTCAAAGGAAATGGGACTAAATTGTCAAAGGTAAATTAGTCAGGTACCTCACAACAGTACCCCCCTTCTAGACCGGAGGGCGACGAGATACGGCGCCGGAGGATATGCACAAGTCTAGAAAAAATGGGTAACTAAACGATCGGGAAAATGAACGTGACGGCCACTGCGAGTTATGTATGCAGGAGGTACAGTCGAAGAGGGTTGACTGCGTGCTGTGGTGGACGATGGTGTTGCAGTTGGATGCTGTTGACATGTAGGGAGAGGAAGTATGCGGGACGGAGGGGTAGAGGGCAAGGCAGTGGGCAGGGTGAACGAGTAGGGGATAGGGAAGATGGAGGAACAGGGGTTAGGGGGTCAGCACGTTTGTCCTTGTGACAGGTCCGGCGGCTCCTCCGCAACAGCAGCCTTGACCCGATCGACACTGACCACGTCCTCCTTGTCACTGCGAAGAATCCGGAAGGTCTTGGTGTTGCGCGCGAGCACGCGGAACGGTCCTTCATATGGTGATTCCAGCGGCTGGCGCACACGGTCACACCGGACGAATACATGAGTACACTTGTCCAAGTCTTTTTCGACATAAGACTCAGTCATTGGAGTTCGAGGTGGAACCGGGGAAAGCGAGCGTATAAATTGTCGCAAACGGTGCACAAGATTGTCAGGAGTCTCGTCGGCTCCACGAGAGGTTGGGGTGATCATCTCGCCTGGCAGTCGGAGGGTAGTGCCGAAAACCAATTCAGCTGCGCTACAGCCCAGATCCGACTTCAGAGCTGCGCGGATGCCGAGGAGTGCAAGAGGAAGGTTGTCCGACCAGTTTCCTGGGTCTTCTACGGCACGCAGGGCGGTCTTTAGCTGGCGATGGAGACGTTCCACCATACCGTTGGCAGCGGGGTGGTAGGCTGTCGTCCGAATGCGTGTGCAGCCAAGAAAATTGAGTAGCGTTTGGAAGAGTGCCGACTCAAACTGGGCACCACGATCAGTCGTAACCGTGGATGGGGCACCGAACATGGCGACCCAACGACTGACGAAGGCCTTCACGATGGTTTCAGCCTGAACATTCGGCAAAGGAATAGCTTCAGCCCAGCGAGTATATCGATCGACACAGGTAAGGAGGTAGGTGAAACCATTGGATGGAGGCAAGGGGCCTACGACATCCAGGTGCACATGGCTGAACCGTGCGTCGGCACTGGGGAATGTGCCTGATGGGGACTTGTTGTGACGCTGCACCTTGTTGCGCTGGCAGCTCAGACACGACCGGGCCCAAGCTTTGACGTCCTTGTTCATGCCAGGCCAGACAAACCTTTCCGCGAGGGGCTTTTGAGAGGCTCGGATCCCAGGGTGGGAGAGTCCATGCAGAGTTTGAAATACAGCTCGAGGCATCGAGGCGGGCACAAAAGGGCGATGAAAGGGAGTTGAGACGTCACAAAGTATGGTACCAGAGCCGGTGGTCAGAGGAACGTCTTTGAGTTGAAGACCACTAACAGACTCGTCGCCAGGACAACCGACTCGCTGCTGCTCAGCCGCCATGGCACAAAGATAAGACCACTAACAGACTCGTCGCCAGGACAACCGACTCGCTGCTGCTCAGCCGCCATGGCACAAAGATCGATCCCGTGTGAGAGTTGGAGGGAAGACAGTGAGGGTCTGGACAGCATATCAGCCACCTCATTCTTCGGGCCATCAATGTGGCGGATGTCGGTGGTGAATTGCGAGATGTAATCCAAATGAGAAATCTCTCTCGGGCTATATTTGTCAGAATGGGATCGGATGGCAAATGTAAGTGGTTTGTGGTCTGTGAAAATGGTGAAGTCACGACCCTCAAGGAAGTGTCGGAAATTTTTTACGGCTAGGTAAATGGCAAGAAGTTCACGGCCAAACGTGCTATATCTCGTCTCGGCAGGTGAAAGCTTCTTGGAGAAGAATGCCAACGGTCGTGTCGAGTTGTTGATATGCTGTTGGAGGACTGCTCCTACGGCAACGGTCGAAGCATCAACCATCAGGGACAATGGGGCTTCTGGAGCAGGATGAGTGAGCAAGGTAGCATCAGCAAGGGAGGTCTTTAGTCTCTCAAATGCAGTCACCGCGTGGCCACGTAACTCAAGGGGACCCTTGGGACCAGAGAGCAAGTTGGTGAGTGGCAGCATAAGGTCGGCACAGTTCGGTAGGAACCGGCGGTAAAAGTTTACCATGCCAAGGAAACGTTGCAGCTGACGCTTGGAGGTTGGTGGAGGAAAGTCACGAATGGCCTCAACCTTGGAAGAGAGGGGACGCAAACCTTGTGCATCGATATGGTGACCAAGAAAATCAAGGGACGGTACACCCAGGACACACTTGGAAGGGTTAATGACCACGCCAAACTGAGGCGGTCAAACACTAAGGCAAGATGCTCTTTGTGTTCCTCGGCATTTCGACTGGCCACCAAGAGGTCATCGATGTAGGCGTACACAAACGGGAGACCACGTAGGACTCGATCAATGAACCTCTGGAATGTTTGGGCAGCATTGCGAAGACCAAATGGCATGCGAACAAATTCGAACAGGCCGAATGGTGTGGTGACGGCAGTTTTGGGAACATCCTCAGGAGCGACAGGAATCTGATGGAAGGCCCGAACAAGGTCGATCTTCGAGAAAACCGATTTGCCGAAAAGAGCTCCAGCAAAATCTTGAAGATGAGGGACGGGATAACGATCCGGGATGGTCGCATTGTTGAGGGCACGATAGTCACCACAGGGCCGCCAGTCGCCTGATGTTGCCTTGGGCACCATGTGCAGTGGGGACGCCCAAGGGCTCTCGGACGGTCGAATTATTCCCAGTTGCAGCATGTGTTCAAACTCCGCCTTCGCGGCCTGAAAACGCTCCGGTGCTAGTCGTCTCGGTCGAGCAAACACGGGAGGACCTGAGGTGCGGATATGGTGCACAACATCATGTTGAACTTCACCACTGCGAAACTGGGCGTTAATTATATTGGGGTGACTAAGCAGCAGTTGCCGAAAAGGACTAGCAATATCTGTATCCAGGACAGATAAGTTGGTGTGGGCAGCAAATGGAGTTAGTCCACGGACGAACAGACCGGTTTTGCAGTCGAGGAGACGGGCACGTCGACAGTCAACAAGGAGATCGAACTCGGCAAGGAAGTCCGAGCCGAGGATTGCATGAGGGACATCAGCAATCACAAAGATCCAAGTAAATGACCGACGAAGGCCAATGTTCAGGGTGAGGGACAGACTGCCAAAAGTGGGAATTGGGGAACAGTTAGCAGCTTGAAGATGAAGACCAGGACTAGGGAAACGACGATCAGCTGCAGTTGGGGGAACGACACTGATTTGAGCTCCAGTGTCCACCAGAAAACGTCTGCGAGTCGCAGTGTCGCAAACATAGAAGGTGCGACCAGAGCCGGAGGAGCCAGAGAAAACGGTCGCATCTATTCTCTGGCTGACTGGTTTCCCTGTTTTGGCTTAAAAGAGCAAGGTGAGGAACAGCGACGGGCCTTTACGCCGAAATTAGTGTGGTACCAGCAAGTATCAGCAGTCCGAGGTCGCGAACGAGAACGACTGCGTGAGCGACTGGAAGTTAGGCGGGCGAGCTGTATTTTTTAAGAGAGGCCATCTCATCTGCCATGGCCGACACCTGTTTTAGTAAATGCTCATTCACTGACGATGAGGATGAGATCTGGGCAACGGAAGGTGACTGGAATCGTTGCACCTCTATCATTCGATCCGCCATCTCAGCCAACTGTGACACTGTGAGATCCTGAGAGCCGGACGCCAGGATCGTTTGAACATCTGTGGGCAGGCGCTCCAGAAACATCCCCTTGACAAATTTATCATCAACTTGCATGTCTCCAAGGAGACAACGCATCCGACGTAAAAGCTCTGAGGGCTTCCGGTCACCCAGTGACTCCTCCTTAATTAACTGGTGATACCTCTGTCGGTCAGACACAGAATTAAGTCGGAGGATTTCGGCCTTTAACGCGGAGTAGGGAGCATCTGCAGGAGGATTAGCTAGCAAAGACTGAACTTGAGAGATGACACTAGCGGGGAGGACCTCCACGAGTTTGTGGTATTTGGCTAGCTCCTTGGTAACGTTGGCAGAATAAAAAGCTGATTCTATGCGGATGAAGTAAAGTTCTGGAGCGTGTTGCCAGAATTCAGGCAAAGTAAAATTGATTGCATGAAGGGACTGGGCGGGGGCATCAAGTTTTTGATCGGAGTGAGACATAATAAGACAGAGATGTCAAAATATCAGAATTCGTGAGGAAAGTAAATGTAAATGGAATAGATATTCACAAGCAAATAGTACGTTAAATGTTATCCAGTATGACAGAAAGCTATAAAGTCTGCGTAAACGTCGGGAGTCACCAATGTCGTAAATGGTAATGTTCTCACGAACTAACGAGTTATATCTCACGAGCCCCTAGCCTTAAATGCAGCAAGTAAATCGGAGCAGTGAATAATATAGAGGTTTTTGAACGTTAAGAAAACTGACAACAGAATACCACAGCAGAGCACGCTAGCACGGCGGGTTGTACAGGTGTGTCGTTTCTCGTCACATTCAAACAAGCAATGCGGTCAAAGGAAATGGGACTAAATTGTCAAAGGTAAATTAGTCAGGTACCTCACCACAAAGATATCAGTTGGCGCGTCCACCTTGCCGACAGTATGTGTGTGGTTTTCCAGGAATCAGGGTGAGTTTGAAACCAATAACTTATTTACCAACCAATAAACAAACGAGGTTTAGTGAATAAGGACTTGCAGACACCCTGGTGATATGCTGAACTTACCCGTAAAAGCTGTCAAAACATTTTAACTTAGTAATAAGCCTGTGGAGGGTTCATTATTCTGTTTTGCGAATTCGAATTTTGAAGTCGCTGTTCGGAGGTGGCGGAGAATCCACTTTCATCGTGCCATAAGTCTTCGCCGAGGGTATAAAGGATGACTGTAGATCCTTAAAAGATCCACACGGTAGCCTGACGTTTAAATGGGAGCCAGGCTGGAGGCTCCATGCGACGTCAGTCACCGTCTTGCTTTGGACTTCCGGCTAGTGAATGAGGTTGGTTCTCTTCGTGCCTTCGTCCACCTAGCGTTTGTAGTCCTAACTACAATAAACCTAGCGCGTTCTTAGGGTTTCGCAACGCCTCAGAGTCCTGGTTTGATTGGTTGTCAACTGGTGGGATTGCTCCGTCCCTTTTCAGACGGATGGTCAAGGTGCAATGATCACCTCTAAAAACGGAGTTTCTTAGGACGATTTTTATTGACAGGGGCTCTTAGTCCCTTCCGGGGCTCGACAATTGTGTGTGTGCAAGGAGAAACATGTGTGAGGCCCGCGTAGACGAGGTTTGTCAAGTTAGGCAATGCCCTCAAACCAGCTACAGCCGTCTCATCCTTGGCTTGTCATTTGGAAAGGGTTGGGATGGAATGTGTGTGTGGAGGGAGAGAGAGTCAAAAACTACTCGATACAACGCAATTCATGGTCATAATGCCACCATCTAGAAGGTCTTCTGCTGGTCATTGCTGAGGACGGTGTGCTAATTACAAAGAACGGACGGCCGGTTCTCGACTATGCTAATCATAAGCGTGCACACTGCTAAATTCGCCCTTCCGACAGGCTGACGGTACAAAGGCATGCATCCCTAAAACCCTCTCCGCAGATTTCCAGAGGACAGGCTACTCCCAGAAGACCTTTCATGTTAGAGCGCGGCTATAAGTGCCCCATCGGGAGAAAAAGTTTAACTTCTTGACGAGGACGCTGCTGACGGCGGAGGCGATTACAGCATTACATTATTTTTTGCAAGTTATGTTACCCTTATTCGGTCGTCCGTATCCCCAGCAGAGGATCTTGTTGACTACAACGGTGCCAGTTCTTCATAAGCCAGGACCGTATTCCGATTACGCAGGGTTTTAAGTAGCCCTCGCATTATATGCGGCCTTGCGCTAAATTCCAGGGGACAGGTTAGGGTTGGGGTTAAGGACAGATTGGCATATCACGGAACTACGCCCTTCTGCGTACCAGCCTCTGAAAACATCATTAAAATCCTGAGAATATTGGGGGAAATTCTGTCACAATCACCCATCTCGCTTCCTTTCACTAAGTAATGCTTGCAAAATAGCTCTTTAAAACTGGACTGGCCTGTGAAGTTGCGACATATTACCGATAATTACGTAGAGATCAGTTTTGATGACGCTGGAGTAGGACATTCTGGTCGCCGACATTCCTCCCTGGCATGTCCTCTACCTTACTGCATACAGACGATCAAATCGTGAACCATTCGAAATCACAACTAATTCCAAAGAGCAGGTTTTGAAAACCAATGCCACCAAAAATTCGCAGTCCTCGTGTCGTGGACTTACCAGGTTGTGTAGCTGGGAGCGCTGTTTTAGGTGTCAGAACACTTTCAGTAGGCGCTGGCGACGCCAACTCTGTCGCAGAGCTCGGCAATTTGGCATCCGGCAGCGAAGGGTCAGTGCCTTCAGAATGTGCCGTTTCTGCGAAAGGTTTGTTAGCGGCTAAAGGATGCAAAGCAAGACGGATTGGTGAGAAGGGACTACTTCAGGTCGAACAGGAAGATTTACCAAAAAGTAGTATTACCATTCCAGATGATATGGTATATGGGTTCATGCGTTAGCAATGAAAATGCGACTTCACTTTTACAGTCCGGCTTCTGAAAATGCAAAAACAGCGGCCAGAGGAATATTCTGAGGTTGGCGCAAACAAGAAACTATGGAGAGTACGTTGGTTATCGTTCACAATTGTTTGAACTCCCTGTCGTGATCGGTAGCAGTTGGAGCAAAGCTGACTCATTCCTACCTAGCTGTGCTTGAGTAAAATATACCCTAAACGTAGAGCATCATTCGATGACTCAACGAGCTCTGAGTCATTAACATCCGTTGGTAAAATGTTGGGGAGGTTGCAATCAAAGAAAAGAACATTGCAGTTTGCTGACCTCAGTCCACGGGGGAGACGGGCTCAGCCGTTAGTCCAGCTGCTGACTACCCGGCGAGTCCATTGGTGACGAACAGCGGGACTGCCTTTAGCGGTCGGTTAGCTGCAAACGACTCTCGGCTCTGGCGAACAAGCAGTAGCAACAATGCCTCCAGAGCGCGGGGGATTGGAGTTTGATACGCCGGCCACCCCATAAAATACCGCAAAGCCTGCGAATGGTACCCTTAAGTGGCAACGGTTAGCCGCCATTAACTATGATTGCTCGCCACCGCTACCTTGAAGAGGCGACGGCATCGACAATCTGAGCGGCCGTTGATAGAACGGCCTATTCCCAGAATTCCCAAGAAACGCCAGCCAACTGTCCGTTTAAAGTACTACGTTCCATTTCACGGTGTCCGTGGAAGTCGACGCGCCCCGTAATCCCCCAATCAGTGGTGCGTGGTGAACTCCTTAGTCAAAAACGGATCCCTGGTATTGGAGGCTGAACTGTGTATACTCCCTGAACCCTGGCCCTCAAAGTCTGACACAGTGACTTTTACCTGATTGCAGAACGTGAACTGGCACTCCCCCCATCTTGCTCAGTAGCTCCGAAACTAGGACCCACGCATGCGGTCACGTATCAGCTAGAAATCAAGTGTTGAGTAACGTCTCCGTCACCGGCATAGCTGTTTCAGGCTTTTTTGTCGACATCAGCCGGTAACACCCAGCTCACCCACTCCACCCTCCATGTTTGTGCCCTCGACGCCTGAATCCGTGAACATCAGTGAGCATTCAAGTCGAACGTCGAGACAATGTAGTTTCTTCTGTTTGCAAATTAACATTGGATTTGGGAGTTAAGTACGAATGGAACATTTCTTACACATTCAACTATTGCTGCCGGCCTTCTTTTATGTAATTTCAAACAATTCAAATTAACTAGGGGTGAAAGAGCCGAACTGTTCATTTCCAGTATTGCAAACTTTCAGGCGAGAAAGCACTCATCGGCGATAAATACATTTACTACGGCGAATGAACCGGGACTGCCATGCCGACATAATTCCTGGGTCAAAGCATGTCAGAGGTTCTATACGGTGAAAGCTGGAGAAAATGATTCAACATAGAGAACCGCGCTATTTTGAAAAAAGTGCTTTTTAAGCTGAGTTGAAAGAAAAGTTGGGTAGGAATACGAATAAACTCCAAAATGGGAGCAACATGTTGATTTGTTTAAGTGGTCAATAACACGGCACTCACAGTGGACTAATATCCTAACAAACGCGAAAAGTAGTGAGACCGATGAATTAACAAGTGTATGATAGAAGCCGGGTACGACAGTTTGACCGTCGTTGTTGACGATATCCACCGTGTGCTCTACGACAGGGTAAAGCAGCACGGTGACCGGCGCATGACCTAGTTTAAATTGGACGGAGACTTGCGTCGCGCCTATCGCACTCCCATCTCCATCCCCACCTGGGCCGGGTGTCAAGAAGACCGGAGGCGAGGGAGGGCGCAAGTGGATGGCACAGCTGAGCCCGCACCTTGGCGCTCCCCCCACATTCCCTGGTCCAGACAGAAAATGACCACGTTTTTAACCGTCAGCAACAATGAGGGACGGCAGGGGTCGCAGTGTGCGCGAAGTACGCCTGCAACTGGGTCTGCCACGGCACTGCAAAATGTTGGCATTTGTTATGGGGTGCATTTCGTTAACGGCCGTCAGAATCCGATATGGCTCCGTGTTGGTCCAGAGCATTTACCGCGTGGCCCGTTTGGGCGGCAGGATACTTATACAGTTTGTAGAGGACAGTCATAATGGCTACGTCGCGCCTCTCGCTAGCGCCTGCGCCTACGTCCTAGCGACAGCCTGCTATGGCACGCACGTCTGCCCGGCTTCGATTTGTCTCGTCGCAATTCACTGTCTGCACCACGCATTCGGTCGATTCTCTGCCTGTACCAAGCGAGGCTTGTCACCACCTTCGCGTGGGCTCGGAGCCAATCAACATAACTCCTATCTCTGGTTGGTAAGACAGGCGGGAACATTCCAGAACAATAGAGTAAACAATCTGCAGCGACAATTTTTCAGCGGCGACCATCGGCGACACAGGGCTCATCGCTCTCGCGGACGCCGCCTCCGGGGCGCCGGACGCATCCTCGTGCGGTTGCTGAATTTCCCCTTCATTATTCTGTACAGAATAACGTGTCCTAACCAAATGGCGTCCTGTTTCTAACAACTTGGGATATGGCCTGAAGTTGTGGCGTACTGAGCGCACACATCACAGCTTAGCCGCTACAAAATTATATAGGTAGCTGTACTTATGCCTGAAATTTCGATGGCCTTGAATATTGAAAGTAAATTGGAACATCTCTTAGTGCAAGCACGACCTTATCAGGGAAGATGTTTCTATGAAGAGAGGACCGTCTTGCCGTTACACGACCACTAGCACTGTAATGTCAACGTTTGAAGTTAAAAAGTAGTGATCTCCACTTGTCTACCGAATTCCGGCGCATATTTTCTTAGTGAAATTGAGGTGTCTGTCTGCATGTGTTTTATCGCCTACACTACAGTCTGTTAAGTTGGCCCTCAGCGCATAATTCCTCACTAGAAACACTCCGACGCGCTTGAAGCTACCACACTGGGCTAAATGGCATGGCTTGCAAGACTGCCAACTGGTGGGATTGCTCAGTCAGCCCACTGTGTGTTTGTGTGGGATGGTAAACTGACAATCAGGCTGCAATAATTCCTTCTTAATGTGGCTTCTATAACACTCCCACGTCTTGTGGTCTGGGTCGCTCCCCCCCTCTTGCTGTGCCTAAGGTCCTGGTCGCTGTGCGTTGTGCACTAGAGTGTGTGGTGGTACACCTAGGCGCGGGTCTTCGTCGAGTCAGTCACCTGAGTCCTCACCCGCCTCCGGTCTTCCCGACTTGGTCTTAACACCGGGCCCAGAGGGGGGAGAGGCAGAGAGAGAGAGAGAATGCGGTAGGTGCTGCGCGGGTCTACTTCTACCAAAAAATAATTTATGCACAGGTCTCTGGGTAGGATCCCTGTTGGTAGCCCTCCCGGCTAATTGGTCTACACATTGCTTACTACAACATTCGCGTCTAGCACACAACTACTGCTTCAGTTTCTAACATACATGTGACCTTAGTGGCAATAAATTATTATTTTCGGAAAATCAGGAACGCCCAACCCAATCTGGAGGTAGGATGCATTCATTCCGCCGACCGTACTCAGTATCCACGTTCGTTTTTATATCTTTCTTTCATTTTTTGCCATATTTAATTTTGACTACGACTTTAGCAGGGGCATCAATTCGGGGCACACACTATAAACGTCACTGACGCCTGCACACAAGTGCCCCACCCGTATATCCCCCATTACCACCGGTCCCGTAAGATACGGAGCCGGGCGATTTCAGTACCGGGAGGGCTACCAACAGGGATCCTACCGGTCAATGTTCCTGCTTTCACCCCGGTGGACATCGTCGGCAACGACGGTCAAACTGTCGTACTACAGTCTGTTCCACAGTTATAAGGTCACCCAAATTATATTCAACGCTTAAATCTGGAAGGATATCTGGTATTTATTTCGTTGCAGACTTTCAACAGAACGTCCGTTCATGATCTTAATTAAAATTCCCAACTTCGCTTCCCGCAAAGCATCCCGGACTTGCTGAATGGCCTTTCCTAGTAGATCATTTGACTGATACATTCGACAACAATCCTAGTATACTCTCAGTTGGGTTGAGATCGGGACGGGTGAGAGCCAGTCAACCGTATCATTCTGGTTGTTTCCTGGCCATTGAATGTAAGTTAGAGCTGTTTTGTCGAAACTTCGCAGGTCCACCGCTGTGCTGACCCACTGATGCACGGAATGCAACTCCGCGGACCCCTCTACGCGCTCGCCTTCTGTCAGTATCCGTCATGCTAGTAGTCGTTCGTGTCATCCAATCTAAGTTTTTTTTTCGCCGGAAAACTTCACCCTGTCCAGGTGATATGATCCAAAGTCCGTCATTTTTGTTCCCCATTTCGTTACTTCATCGACGGCGGCATCCGTGAAAACTTTTGACAGTCAAATACAGACGAACTATCTACCAGCCTGTGAGTTGTAGTATTCGTAAATTCCAGCACAAAATACAGCAAGACGGTGGTTGCGTCACCTGGTACTTTCCTTTCTGACTGATGTGTAGAATTTCTCACCTTCCTCGTCCTCTTCATCTCCCGTCGTTTTCTTCTGTTCCTTCTTAGTCTTCCTCCGGTTAGTTTCTTTTTGCGTCAATTTTCACCGTAGTCTCTGTTCTTTTCAGGCGTCGTGCGATTTCTCCACTAATCGAACTCATTGCTCGAAAGGCGGAAATCTCACCTTAAACCTCTTAAAGTCCGCCAGTAGCACTATTCTCAACATTTGTAGAAGACAAGTGCAGTTCGTCGGCTGGAAGGACAAATTGCCGTGTGAAAGCTACTCACCATATTGTCGTCACCGGTGGTGTTAGTCACTTCAACACGGATGCAACGTAAAATGTACATTGCGTCTCATTCTCAGTCCAGATTCGAAGAAACGCTGACACATTAGGCGACCTTATACTAGTGGGATGGCTATTATTTGGTCACTCTCATTACTTTCCAGTATAATAAACCGTTTTGTGGTAAAACCGTGTTTGCACTAAAAGCTGTAATTTTTTATTCTCTCTCTCTTAAACACCCAGGAAAGCGGACTGAACCACAAAAAGTTGACCGAGTGCCAGCCAAAAAAGAGGCAACCTTATGACTGTGAGACAGGCCGTGCGCATAAAAAGTGTAACAGGTCTTTGAAATCTGAGTATCTGGAGGAACTGTTTTGACTCCCTTAGAGACGCTCCCATGGCTACGGCCGTGACGCTGACTGAAGAGTATGATTTAGTCTGAAGCTTTTTCGTCTGCATCGCATTTTTTTATCGTTTTTACCTTCAGACAGTAGAGCTATCAAAAGGAAAGGCTGATCGTCACAAGCAATGTCCCGCCTGGTTTAGACAAACCCAAGGCATCGATGCATCTGGGTATGGACAACGAAGGACAGACTCTTCACTCACGTGATAGGAAAAATACCTGGTGACCCTAGAACACACTCACGCTCAAATCATTATGCATAATTAACCTTCCAGACTCTGCATAAAAGATCGGTAGGAAGAGAGGTTTTAAAGGTGCAAGCACCTCTTTAATATCCTCCCACAAACGGAAGATTTGGGTTAGTGGGCTACAGATTGCGGTAAACGCTGATGCGCATGAAAAATTGACGGGCAATAGTTGGTACTCTGTGATATACGAAAGCCAACGTAGACAAAAATGTATAACTGATAAGAAGGGAAAATAACCCTAGACTATTTTTCTTCATTGCAGTAGACTGTTTTTTTAAAGAGCAGGTCGGGAATTGGGGCAGCGCACAGCTAGCGAGAATTCGGTCCCACCCTCCTCGATGTGACCATTTCGGGACGCGTGGTAAACCTCTAGGATTCCAGCCAGTCTCGCTTCCTTTTGTCCAGCGTGGCGACTTGGAACGCAAAATTACAGGTCGCGCAAAGTCGTTTGACGCTTGATAGCACCGCTGGCGCTTTTATCCCGCACAGTAAATCAGTCGCCCAAAGAACACCAGATTCTCCCAGAGGAAGAATGAGAAGGGAGTGTTGACCAATTGGTGGGCGTGTGACCTTGACCGACTCCGAGGATGAACATAAAAATGAGAACTTAGGGTTTGCCAGTTTGACCTCTTCCGCCGCCCCACACTGGCGAGGTACTTTAAGGTAACATCCTCATAGTTTGGTCAGTTCTTAAAAGGTAACTAGAAACTTTAACTCAAGCTACGTTTGTTTTTTTGAGCGTTCTTGACACACATCGAACGCAGGTGTCATGCTGACGGAAAAATTTCTGAAAATGTCGCATTCCTTCTGGTCTAGCGATTTTTAACAGGTGTTTGCCTATCTGATTACTGAATAAACTAAAATGTGCCGAAAAAATTAAAACTTACAGAAGTATTCATGCAGACAGCCTGCACAGGAAAACACTCGCAAGGACAGCCTCATCTAAGCACTGTACAAAGTCACATTAGCTCAAATTCTGGGGTTGTTTTGATGATGTCTGAGTGGACCGTGACATCATTCAAGCACAAATAATTATAAAGCAAGCCTAAACGACAAAAGCAAGATTTTCGGGTCTTGTTGATGGCGGTGGCTGGTCGCAGGTGTTAGAACGATGGTGATAATTAGGTCAGGGTCTGGTTCCTCCTCTTCATCGATTTCACTTGGCCTCACTTTAATTCCTACTTTTTGGAGGTCACTGTCTGTCCCTCCTCACTAAAAAATGCTTAAAACTAGAGAAGAAAAGAAGACTGATAGTGCACCGGAACAAATTGTTTATCGTCCTGAACTTCCGAATCGCCGATGGACTCTTGCACGAGTTTGAAAGCTTTGAAAAATAAACAAGCTCTTCCGGTGCGCGACCGCTCGCCTTCTTTACTCAGACACTCACACCTGGCAGCTCGAAAATCAACCTCCATTCGTGATAACACGTCGAGATTAACACCAGCGCTCATAGAAAAGGGTATGAAATCTAAGCTGCCGTCCTTAGAGAGAACGTCACTTTGGCAAACTCCTAAGCAGCCGATCGAGGCACGACTTTATGCCTGAAACGGTTCCACTACCTAGAAATTGCAGTACTCCCCCTAGAAGAGTTTCAAGTCAGACGCCGGACTTTCTTTATACAACAGTCTTTTTATTAAAATATATTCTACTACTAACAGCTCCAGTAAATTACAGAAAAGTATCGAAATATCTTGTTTTCTGGTTTTCGTCCTTAGCCCGCCTCCACTGGCTTTGAACGTTACTCACCAGCGAGGTTGTGAGAACACTGGATTTTGCGGCCGCCCTTGATGTCCAACCTAACATCTAAAATTTGGGCAGTCGTATGTACTGTCGCAGATGCTAAGCTCTTTTAATTTCAACCAAAGTCAGAGTGTGGATTTTAAGTAAAAATCATCGGAACAAAATTTTGAGGTTCTGCCAAAAGGGCTGTATGAAAATATGAACTGGATTGCATCATCTTCAACGAATAAGGTCAAAAATACTTGCTCCAGAGCCTTGTTCCGGAATGCCATACTGTGTACTAGATATGCCATCTCATGATATGTTGACTGAAATTCTGAAGTGTGTTTTCAATTCGAAAAGATTACTCAATTAAAGTCGTCCTAGTAATTATCGTGTCGCATGATGTTGAGATATTCGAGTCATTTCCGGATGTCGGCTTTTGAATGAGCTTCCTATCAACAGTTGACATAAGTTGCGTTCCGTAAAAAACGACTACTTGAGTAGCATGGGTTACTCCCATTGATTTTTGATGTCTTTATAAATGAAATTATATTTTGTGGAAGACATACATAAACACTTTTTAATGCATTTGATAGAAAATTACATATTTTTCAAATTCTATGCTTAAGAGGAGAGTATCTCTCGGTTTTAGAAAACTTCTTAAGTTCCCGAATAGTTTTGAATTCGACCTATCGCTACACTTGCATTTGCAGTTTCCAGGTTACAGGCTGTAAAATTCCGTGTAAGGAAAACCACACATATCAATATGCCGTTAAGAAGAGGAAATATAGGGCTCGTAAAATTTCGTAGTTGATATGGACCAAGATGTTGACCTTACAAGAGGAATTGATAAATGTGCCGATACGCTGTTGTATGTTCAGACATTTCACGGTCTGGAAAAATCTCATGGTTGAAAACATGTTAAAAACTGAAAGATACTCTTTCTTTAGGCAAAAAAAATGTGAAGAAGACGTCATTTTCTGCCAATTGGGCAAAGGAAAGAATATTTTCATGGTTCCTGTAAAATATGCTAGAATTTATAGGTGCATCAAAAATCAATAGGAATAATTCAAGCTGCATAACTAGTCATTTTTTTACGAACATGGTTTGTGCGTACGGTCGATAAGAGGCTGATTTGAAAGTGAACATTTTGACTTGACTGGAATATCTTGACATCATGTGACACGATAGTTGCTATGACGACAGCCCTACTTAAGTAATATTTTCGAGTTGAAAACGAGTTTCGGAACTTTGGGTAATATTTCATGAGGTATAACATCTACCATATATGAAAACGCTGGAGGATTCAGTGATGAACCGATGACCTCGCATGACGAGACACGTTCCTGGGCTCTCATCTAGTGCGCTTGCTGAGAGTATCATGCATTAATCAATACGCTTTGACAACAGACTGCCTGTGATTCCGCAGAAGCCGATCGACTTCAGCTCAAATATTCATGTCAATTTCCGGACCGAACTTGATGAGGCCTGTCTCAAAGTATTGTTTTAAGTTTTCACGTTAATTTCTGATTAAATTAAAATAGTTCAAAATGGCAAAATGTAGTACAGGCAAGAAAACAGGGTGGGAACGCCACGGGGTGCCTATCGATGAGGTGGAACCCTCGTAATTGTCATATAGTGGAACACAACCGACGAAGTACGTGGTTGCAATTTTAGTTGGCTCTTGTCCCATGAGAATACTCGGTCAACCCCCGTCTGCAAATAAAGCTGCATGAAAGCCATGGATGCTGAGCGTACTTCATATGCCCGCAGCGCACACGATTATACTTTATCCCCATGGGGAGTACCTTCCGGTTTTGTGTGCCAAATTTCGCCCAACGGGGCCTTGCCGGTCATGCACTGAGGCTGCGTTCGGGGCCCAAGAAGAACGAGAAACGAACCAGTTCCCGTTACGTACGGATTTTCAGCATGGTCTATGTCCGCCCTTCCATTACGTCTTTGTCTGTCCGTTCAGAGATCAAAAATCTGGTCTTTGCATTTATGACTAGGACGGTTCAACCGTTTTGACCGACAATGTCTACCGCGTGCTTCGCGGTAGGGTGAGAGCAAGGACGGTGACGGGCGCGTTATTCCCCCTTTAGTGATAGTAGCATCTGAACTTGGTGTCAAGACAAAGACAAGGAGACCGAAACAGGAGAGGACGCAGGTGGCTGACACAGCGAAAACCCACACCTAGGCGTACCACCACACCGCCTGGTCCACAACACATGCTGGCCAGAATCTCACACAACAAGAGAAGTGGGAGGGAGGGCAGCTCAGACTCCAAATGGGCGTTGCACCACAGTTCAGTGTTGGCATTTGTCGCGGGTGCATATTTGCATGAACACCTGTCGGATTCCGACCTAGACCCTTGTTCGTCCAGCGTATCTGCCGCATACCCCGACTGAGGGGCAAGCATGTGTAATAACTGATAACCCCGTAGCCAGTACGATCCTATCGACTATGACTGGCCGAATTTTTCCGTTGTAAAGCACATCTGAAGACATTTTTAGTGCTATCAGAGCTTAAACGAACTGTTCTGATGTTCCATGCCAGAGGGGACGAAAATTGGATAAACTGCAGATCAGTCATTTGTTAATAACTACAGACAAAATAAGGTCTGATATCAGAATACTAAGAACAGAGTCGTTTGCAGAATTGCAGCTTATTTCCCAAAATGTGGTGGAGGATGTTGCCCATTTTCATACATTGGTCTCAGGATGTGATCGTGTGAATTTTTTTTAACTGGAGGTCCCGTTTTCTAACAATAAGTGAAGTGTTTACGCCCGTCGGTTTTTAGATAATCTAATATTGCTATGGGCGCAAATGCAAGCATGAGGGAGATTACTGTCTTTTGGTCATAATGTCTCAGTATTTTATGTTGGACGGATTAGTTAAACCACAATACACCAGCCTCAGTTACGTCGAATCGAAATAAAGCAGGAACTTGAGAGCAGACCAAAAACGTCTGTTATATAATGAAAGTGATCCCTAAACCACAGAGATCATCAGAATTCGCTAGGTTAGGATATTTTGGGACGTCAAAACCCAGTCAAATGTTCGAAAGGCTATTTTTCTGAGCGAACAAGAAACCTTAATTAATAAAGGCCTGAAACTCATAAATTATCCAGTTCTGGCGAAACCTGCAGAGTCTGCACCCAACTAAACCCATTTTCCATCTATTTCGTTTTGAAATAATTCTGGAATACTTTTGGTGAGTTGAGATCAGCAAGCCAAATATTGCAGACAATAGACGTTACTGAGCGATGCCTCGGAAGGAGAAAATATTAGTAATAAAAACATTATCAACGCCCAAGAACAGTAAAATCAACATGAGACGTTAATCAAACCCATTTCTCACAAGGCAAACTCACACGCCTAACTAAGTTAACATACTAGGTGAAAACATACTTTCGTTTCGCTTCATGCCCAGATGCTTGAACAGTGCGTGCTGAAGACGACTGATTTCTCCATCACACAGCTGGCTGCGCAATTCGTGACCGGACACTCCTTCCAACAATACGCTCAAAAATATGCACGATCAATTACTTCGAACATTCGTTGTCAAGGCCTATCACCCAACTACCACCGTCGTCAGCGTTTGGATTGAAGCCTCGAGTGAGGTTTGCGGGTTTAAACTGTCACATATCGTCCAACTCACATGACTGACGACAGTACCCCGATGCTCGATTCTCCGGCACGTGCTTCTTCCTCATTTAGCCTCAGAGTGTCGGAGTTGTAACGACCACTGCAGGAGGCACTTCCAGTACGTCTGCACCCCCTCTCATCCAGTAGCCAATCGAGGCAAGAAGAGATCTCATGAGCATGTTCATATGAACGAACTAGAAGAATAATCCAGTCTGTCGTTGGGAAATGGCCTGCTGGTCACAACAGCCGGGGCGAAACTCTTTTGTTTTCTCTGAGTTTCGATCAAACCTCTCTGTGGTTAATTGATAGCTATTTTGCGACTGCTTGCGGAAATTGTACGGCAGTCGCAAGACAGGACGAATTACCTATTCTATCAAGATAATCGTCCGCGTCGGAAACAAAACGAGCCGAGAATTGATCAAAGCCTGGGCTTTGGATGAGGGTTCGGTTAATCGATTTATCGATCTGGCGCCGGCCCTGGGCAGTCACCTCCAGTCCTACGCCATCGATCGATGATGGGCCAGCACCTCCTACAACTATCGATGTCGTTGCATCTATCGTTGAGGATGGACTCCTGTATGAGTTCAACAGCTCAGAACAATAAACAGGCCGTTCCAGTGCTCAGCCAATCTGGTGTACTTTTAACATCAGATTAGTTGATTAAACAAGACTGAAGGCTAAGCCGTAGCAAAAATCTTAGAGCGGTCAGATTATTAACTAAGGGGATCCGAGTTGAACTCTCATTTAGCTCTACCAGCTGTTGGGACAGGGTTGACTGGTGGTAGAAAATGACTCAGAAAAAGCCATTCCCGGAGTCTATATATTAGTCACTACACGTTCTCGAGTGACTTATGTTTGGCTGTTTTAGCTATAGTCCCATGGATAATGACGTTTAGTGTAGACGGGAGTTACGCATGCATTTGCACGTTAAAATTCAAACAATACAACTCTTCTGACTGCTATGGATAAGGAGTGTACTTATATGGTTGTTAATGGACGCAGGCAATTTGATGGAAGGTTTTTCTATACAAATTTTAACATTAACTACGATAGAAGGGCGCGCAGGTTGCGGGGCATGCACATTCCGTTGTCCCCTGGAACTCAAACTAGAGCCTTCGAAGGCAGTCGCATAACGCTGAGCGGCCATTTCTGACTTATTAACTGTCGTCAGGTTCAAACTCGCGTTCTTTGGTTATCGGGCGTTAGTAAGTTTAACATTCTAACCGCTGAGCCGCGGAATCGTTGACCTGACGATAGTGATCGGGAACATTAACCATAGTAGATGGGCACTCGCCGACCAGGTTACGAGACATGCTCGTTCCGTTGTGCCCTGGGGCTCAATGTAGAGTTTTCACAAGTAGTCGCATAACGATAAGTAATATTAAAACCCAGTGTTTATTGGGCCAAAATGTGCCATCATTTCCACTGTCTTCCACCCTACGGCATTTGAAGAGCATTATTCCATGTTCACATAAGTCCCATAGTCCGTAATTAATTAACCACTTACATGCATAATTAACAACTGTCAGGTCCCCAAACGTTTTGTTACGGATGAAAAATGTCGGTGGGACAGATGAACTTAGTAGAAAGTGGAAACAATTTGCAACTTCTACATGATAATTCGTGATGCGGAAATCGAGTTTTGTCGTGCGAGAGAAATGAGCCGTCGTTATTTAACGATCTTGAATACTTACTGGTTGATTTTAATCTACAATTCCGCCGATCTGTCTGTAATTGTTTTATCTGTTTGAAAAAGAACTATCGCACAATCAGTAGGGCTGCTTTTGTTACAACCATGGTTTGTTATTGAGGGTTGTAATTCTCAATGGTCACCTGACCATCGTTGTGGGTTCTGATCTAGGATCGGCATCTTTTCGCGGGTCAGGCTTCGCTACAGTGACTATGCTTGTTATTTTAACAATCATCGCTGGATACATCAACACACGCGGCAGTTCCGACCACCTATCGAATCTTCAGTTAGTTGGGACATCGTTCAGGGAACCAAATCACCATCCAAAACCCGATAGGTGAACTCTCCTCGCATTCATGTCCTCTTGCAATTGCACCAATATGCCAGGTAGTAATTCACACAGACCAGCCAATACCATTCGTCCAAGCATGACTCCTAAACAGGACTGGAATCCGGGCTTTCGCCCGTTAACCTACACCCACTAGTTTAGCCACTTAGCTGTTCTGCTGAGCTGGGGAGGGCGCCGTGAACAGTAACTCAGATGATCCAAGCTAGATGGTCAAGTCAACTTTCTGAACAATTTTTTGCATTTTCGAACTATCTTTCAAAGAGAATACTTGCATATCTAGTGCTTCTAAAATGGATTTGGAAAAACTACCAGCACACATAATGCATTGGCAATATACTGGCTAGCAGTTTGACAGCTAAATGTGACTGTTTCTGTGGCTTCTGAGATATGAAAGGAAAACGTCCACAAGCAAAGCTGGCAAGCAGGTGAAGACGATTTGAACGTAGACACCAAGACTGATCGCGGCGATTCAAATATAAACCATTAAAAGTCTGATAGAATTCTATGAACATATATAGAGGCACTTTGCAGAAATCTCGGTTTCTTTAATGTTGCCAGTTATGCGTAGAAGGCCGACGTTCTTGAATGTTGAAACATCGACTTCATGCTACAACTACTATTGAGGAAACCCTTTACTGAATAAGTAAATCCAAGTATTGCATTAGTCAGTAGTTAGTTTCGTATTTCACTTAAGCCGCCTACCATTTGTAGATGCTTATTTTCGAAAATTTGTCTTTACTCAGTTTAATTGTTAAATAAAGTAACTAACACCAACTTACTTTGTCCCATCGGGAACCCGGTCTTCAGATGACACGTGAGAAGGGTGTCACACTCTGGTCCGAAAATAAAACCGAATAAATGGCCACGAAAGGGTTGACAGAGGTGTGCCTTATACGAAGACTGCCTCTAGACAAAAGTCAGCCTTTTAGCAGTCCTGCACGTGCTCAAGGTCAGGTCGGTTAGGGCACAGAACCAATCAGACTAAGCGCGAGCGTCATTCGAGCCAATGGGGACGGTTAACAGTTATTGTGTATGCAGCAACCTTGATGAAAATCAGAGCAGCACAATGATTATTCTTAACCATTCGCGTCAAGTTTTGCGGCGTCAGTTGAACTTTTTATGCCCCATTCACGTTTTGAAATGCTTATTTTTAATTCCGATACGGACAAAGATTAATCATTCATCAGGGGAAATCTGTCAATATTAGTTACTTCTAATAGGGCGTTTCGTCTGCTTGTTAGCGAATCGGTATCTGACTGTAATAAGACAAAGCGCCGACATTATTCCTAGGAATAAAGCATAAAGATTAAAGTCGAAGAGTAGGGTACAAAGATCCACGACATTCGTAAGTTAGTTTTAATTGCGGGCAAATGTAGGAAGTAATCTGGTCCACTCACCCGCATGAGAGGACTGCAGGTATAAAAAGTACAGGTAACAATTGGGAGATGGCACCCAAAAAAATCCGCCCAACCAAAGCAGCCTGTCTTATGGGACAGGTGGTAATAGGGGTTTTACGGGTGGGACCTTCGATTGCGTGGATAAATATAAATAAAACTAAGAAGTTTTTTCAGAAATGGCTTTTCGAACGATAAAGTTTAACCTCATCACTAAATGGCAACAAAAATGTGCGCGGTGTCGGATTTACTTGAAGAGGCAGATAATACGAAGTCGATCCAGCTCGTATTTCCTGCTTAATTGCTTTTTTAAACAGGGGATTGAAAGCGAAATGCAGTTGGCTAAAGGAAACGTTCTACGTTGTGCTGTTCATGACCCTATGCCTTCATATCCTCGCTTTCAAAACTGCACGTTCAATAAACACAGAGGATGTGACTGAAAACATCGCCGCACATGACTCCGACGAGAGTTGCCATTTTGTGAAATTGCTTAGCTGATGACACCGTCTGTCTGGGATTGTATGCTTTTAAAGTTTTCCGGCCCTCAGTAAAATACCCTTATTTTATTCCTTTCATTAGCCTGTGGACGAACACTCATGCAGTCCTCCCGCATATTCTCACCGGTAACGGATTTTTTGGGTGCCATCTCCCAATTGTTACCTGCTTCCCTTCCAGCCCTGCTCTTAGATAATTTCATTGAGCGACGATCTCCTGTACACGCATTTCACTCCGCTTAAACCGTGGGAGGTTTTATTTCCAGCTTGGCTGATAAGTTGACGGGTTTACTTCTCTATCGTTAATTTCATTAAGCCCGTTCAGACAGTTTTGTTTTGCTAAAAGTATCTGGTTTTTCCTTCAAATTGGCTACAAGTTCGGTGACAGTGCCGGTCGATAGTGACCCTGAGTCGAAAAATATACTGTGATAATTGGTGGAATTTTCGCCCAATCAAAATCTCGTCGTCAAAATATTAATCGGCCTTGTCAGTCCGTCGGTCTCCCCTCGTCTTTTACTAAGTCATGCTGTCTGTTGCCAACCGAGATACTGTTCGTTCAGAAGACACCGCCAAACCCTAGCCTCATAACCCTAACTCTTAACCTTAAGCTCACCCCCAACATTATTGTGTCCATCAGGTGGGACTGCATAACCATGTCTTGCCAAACGCTCTTAAGGGTCGACTGGCGGATCTGTTGTGCTGCCTTTTTTGATCGGGATATCCCCTGTTGTAGGAAATACGGGCATGGATCAGGTTACCGGAGGTTCTCACCGTTGCGCCATTGGATTTAGTCTAGAGTCTCGTGAACCAGAATGTACCGTAACTTGATCCGTAGGCGCCATTTTTGCTCCTTGCAGCAGAAAACTTTGTTGAAAAATCGCAGGCTGTCTCTTTCGCATTAAATTCACTGCCCGTCCGGTTCGGATGATATAAAAATTAATATCCCTGCTAAAAGGTAGAGGATGTTAGGGTTTTTTCATAAAGATAATCCATTTGCGTAATTTCCTTCTACGCAGATAAATATTCCTAATACATGTTGCGATTTATTATATGCCAGGAAAATAATTTTCTCTTGCCATTACTTGCCATCTAGCTATACCTAACTTGTACTCAACGTCTCATCGTTTGGTTCGAACAACATCCCGGTCGCGTGTCTCCTGCAAGATTCCTCAGCACAAAAAAGCCTTTGCTGCATTGTTTAGTATTCGGGTTATCTAAAAACACCAAACGCCAAAGGGCAACGGTATGGTGAAGGACCCCACTTAATTTTCGGTAGACTGTTGATGATGTCATACGCGAATGGTGGTAATGGGAGTTTGACGGGCAGGGCAGCAAGCCATACAGTAAGCTGACAAAATGTAGGAGAACATAAAAATTGTTTGGATCTCTGCCGAAAGTCTTACCGTACGCTTTCGTGCGGCAATATAAATGAGCACGTTCATCAAAAATGAACAAAAAAACAAAATTTAAAAATAACAGAGTTTGAACAGTGGTATGAGGTCAGGAGAAGTACGTGTTGTTGGCAGTACGATGCCTGTAGGGGTCTGCAAATGGATATCAAGATAAAAGCCTATAAGACATGGTTCAGAGTCGACCGGCAGTGGAGAGTGGGATCCGGAACCCTACCGCCATCAAATAAAGAAATCGGCTTGCCCGTCATTCAAGTAATTACATTGAAAACCGCAAAGTTCTCAATGACTTCGTAAGGACGCCTTGAGACTCAATGTCGTTAGCTGCCTACGAGGGAGAAAAAATTTATATTTTGAAGGAAAAAACACCTCATGCACAAGAAACTGCACGCTGCTCCCTACCTATTCTAATTACTACATTTCTCATTCTAATTAATGGACAGCCTCGTGACACGTGACTCTGAATGTACTTTGGTAAGATTTGATTTAGTAGCCCTACTTGGTGAACACAATACTGTTGGGGTTGAGGTAAGGGGTTAGGGTTAGGGGTCCGGGCAGATATTTCTCAACCACTCAAATTATAACTACGCATTCCTAAGAGCACTTTTTGCATACAACAACTTGACCTCGTCGCCTGTGCGTTCCCCGGCCCCACTTGCAAAAACCCCCCTTTACCACCGGTCCCGTACTACAGGTGGCTGGGGTTTGTTTACTTCAGGTGGGTCTTCATTACCACAGCTGACCGAGCGTTTGGCTACTTAAAGCCTAGTAATCAGTGAACCCAAGTTCGAATCCCAGGCCATTTAAACATGGAAATGAGTCTGACTGGCTGACAGCAGACAGAAACGACCAACCCAGTTGAGGTTTTTTTTGTCACTACCCTCTTCTCTCTGTATATTACCGCTTTGCGAGTACCCGCGAGAGCTCTAGATTGAGCCTTAAGGTGCAAAGGGACGGGCATGTCCCCTGACCCGATTGGTAAATGTGCCTTCCCCGTATACGTGCAGGTCGAGGAAATTGGATCACGTCGTTGTGGCCCCAAAATGAAATGAAGAAAATAGTGGCTCGTAGAGCCTGTCCATCCGGCCGCGAAGACCGGGCACGAGATCTGGACTATTGTCGTCCCTGCTTCTAATGTTCCCTAGTTGCAGGATCGGCGCTACGTCAAGCTTTGCACCCAAGTCTCCCAAAAGTTGTCTGACAAGGTTCGGCGGGCCTCGGGTGCCCTAGACAAAAAAGATGGGGTAAAAATGATAGTGAGGTAGCCCTCATAACGACAGTCCGGCCTATTTGCCAGCAGAATAAGTCTAGCGCATTTGAAACTATTGCGATTTGGCAAAACTTCTAATTTAGAATTTTTCTATCCGACACAGTGCGCTGATTCGTCTTCAGAACATGAGGCAGCCTCTTCCTCACATACTCATTTGAGGACTTATCCCGCTCTCGTGACTCGGGCCCGTGTGGGGCACGCGTAGACAGGGCTTCCATGCTGCAATAAGCAGTGCGTTACCCAGAAGGATGTTATAAAAAACTAGACAGTCTCATTCGGGCAAAATATTCAAGAAAATTCGTCCACTAATGAAAGTTCACGTGTGTTCCAATTCCTGATGTCCGGACAGCGAAAGCGAGGGCACTCCAAGTGGGCAGATCATCCGCGTATTCAAACCAAAAATGTGCGGAGAAACATTTCCAAAGATTGAAGACCGATCTCAAAGCTCAATTTCAGCGGACTTTAAGACAGGGACGTTGTATTCCTTCAGATGAAAGCCTTTAAACTTATTTTTTGCAATAAAGGATCAAAAAAGCGCTGACTACTGTAGGACAATGCCGAAATTTTAGAAAACCTGTTGGAAAATCATGTTGCCACGTCTGGATGACTCCAAAACCGAATCTGATCGGAAATTGTCGGACGGTAGGCTGAATGTTCTCCAGAATTGCCCTGGCGTAATAAAGCAGGCTGCGGCCGGCGTTTTGCCGTCTCTCACCTTTTCTGGTAATTTTTATTCAGGCGTAGATTTACCGCCTGTGTTGCCAGCAGTGTAAAGTGACATATTTTGGTAGTGCTGTTTTTGTCAAAGAGTGGGGAGGGGGGTTGACTGAAAACATAAGAATAAAAAAACAAAACTGTAAAAACTGTTACAGTGGCAAGATCTTTGCGATGACAGCTGAGGGGGGGGGGGGGTCGGCCGGACACTCTTTCAGCTTTAATAGCTACTTTAATACTAGGGACACAATTAGTCATATGCGTCATTTTTTGGCCAGTATAAACGTAACAAAGCAAACCTCTCTACTGAAATGCAACAAAACGTAACTCAATGAGGGCTGTCTTTACGTCGGTCCACGTTAGAGACGGCAACCTAACGATAGGAAACATGGGAAAATATGAGTTGTAGATATCAGGAGGACCGTATGGTATGGTTTTGTATCCGCACCTGGTGGACGCAATACTGTTAACCTACATAATTATTTTTGAGTTGGTGTGATTGCGTTAG